GACTTATGGCCCTGCACCAGGCATTTGTCTATTGTGAGCGTTTCATTGCCAGCTCACTGCAAAGGTGAGCCAAGTTGGAAGCTGTTTGCCCCACTTGGTTGACCAACCAATATGACAAAATATGAAGTATAAAACACAATGAAGGCACTGATATGGTCATAATTTTTTGAGAATGCCCATTACAAATATAAATCACACAAAGCAAGTGAGATAATCCGTGAATAAGTCAAAACATATCAATTTTCAGAACGTTAAATTATCAAAACATAAAAAGTCCTCCAAAACATTCAGATTAAAAAAAATAAAATCCTTTGGTGGTCAACACTTTTTGGAGCCAAAAAATAATCCGTAACTTTCTTGCTTCCAGCACATATAAAGAAACCATGGGGTAATAAACTTGTCAACACTAGCCAGCAACCATCTAATTTTGAAATTACCTGATTGACCCTCTAGGAAATCCAGAAATAAGTCAATCCTTAGGTGGATTGTGTAAAGGAAAATGCCAATAGAGGAAAATATAATGCACAGTGTCTTTGATCCAGCCTGATATGCACACACAAAGTGGTCAGTTGCTGGCCTAGTAAAGATTTTACCAATTAGATATCCTTTGAGCATAGTTTCAAACCTTAGCTAAGTGTGTCTAACAGGAAAAATGCAATGACTTCCTGCAGATAAACAGCCCTTTTATGAGCACTTATCATAGTAGGTTTAAGAGACATGACAATATTCAGATATTTTGCCACCTGCTTGGTAATATATTTATTGGTCCCCTGCAGTAACATGCTCAGAAAGGTTTCTAGAAATCTTCTAGAAATCTTTCAGGAAAACATCTTATAATAGAAGAAGAAGAAGAGGAGGAGGAGGAGGAGGAGGAGGAGGAGTTTGGATTTGATATCCCACCTTTCACTCCCTTTAAGGAGTCTCAAAGCGGCTAACATTCTCCTTTCCCTTCCTCCCCCACAACAAACACTCTGTGAGGTGAGTGGGGCTGAGAGACTTCAAAGAAGTGTGACTGGCCCAAGGTCACCCAGCACCTGCATGTGGAGGAGCGGAGACGCGAACCCGGTTCCCCAGGATATTAATATAATAGGATATATGATGCTTTTTCTACCCCCTGAAAAAACCTACAGTGAAATAGCATATGGGAGACAGAGCTAGTCCCTGAGTGGTTGCATAGAATTTGGTTACAAAGGATTTGTCTTTCAAACAAATTCTAACTAAACAGCCATAAAAAATATTTGAAGCTAAAACAGACCAATAAAATAGCTCTTCTGTACTTAGGTATTGTTAGAAAATTTAAATCTGGCATACAGTTATTAGAAGCAGTCAGGTCCAGTGACTATGAAGTACATGGTCCATTAGCTAATGCATGTAGCTCTTTCACATCTATAACTTTTATTCCCTGTTTAACCACAGATTTGCCTTGCACTAATTCCAATGACAGCAGATAAGAGGAAGAAAAACCAATTGAACAATTTTGTTCCCATTAACTCTCTTTTCCATGAAGATGCAAGAAAGTCAACCATCGCTGGTATGATGGGCAGCTGGAAGAGAAAGAGGAACAAATTCAGAGCCTCTAATGAATCGAATATGTCCATGACAAGCTACTTAATGAGCTAAGACTGGTTTCTAAATGCACCCGCAACACATTGAGGTGCACTAAGTATAGCTGTAAGAAAGAAGGGTTGCATTCTTTCCAAAGGATTTTTTGATGCCTTGAAACCAAAATGAGGTTCCCAACAAAATCTGCCTTACAACTTTTGCAGTGTACACCCATATGATGGCCATAACAAGCTGATGCTACTTTTGCACAAAAGAATCAAGGTAATGCCTTTCCCATATGCTCTGCTTTGACCTTTTCCAAATTACGGTCCACTGTCCACCTTCTGGGTTCATGAAATCCAAAATACTTATAAGAATCAACTTATTTTTATAAGACTTACCCATGGAACAAGATCATTTGATCTTCCTTTTTTTAAAAAAAACCAACAACAATATTTTACTTCTAAGAGATAGAGAATCATTTCTACAATAATTTGCAGATCCAGGAAGTAGTCATTTAAATCCCAAACCAGTTTGCGAGATTAAAATGGCATTGTCTGCCTACAATGTAAACTTTGGTGATGTTTAGTTTTGTTGTTGTTTAGTCGTGTCCAACTCTTCATGACCCCATGGACCAGAGCACGCTAGGCACTCCTATCTGTTTAGTTTAGGATTGTAAAGAAGGAAAGATTAGCCAAGTATATGTTAAATGTAATTTGGAAAGGACTCCACCAGGCACTCCTTGCCTGACTCCACCAATGTGAAAAACTACTCCAGAGGGATTACTGTTGTCATTACAACCCACCTGTGTTGATGTGTTTTGCTATAAACCTTGGATCAAGAACAACAATCTCTTATCCATAGTCATCTGATTCAGGTTGTTCCATAATTGCTCATGGGAAATAAGATCAAAGACTGATTTCAAATCAATAAAGACTGCAAGCAGCTTGCCTTGGGGAGGTTTGGATCTATCTTGCTCTTCAAAATTTTTGTAATCAATTTAAGCTTATTGCACAGAAAATTGACATATCTCTTTGCTATAATAGAAGTGTGCATGCACACGAAAGCTCATACCAAGAACTAACTTAGTTGGTCTTTAAGGTGCTACTGGAAGGAATTTTTTTTGTTTTGACTATAATAGATCGTAAGTTTACAGAGCAATAACTATTTGGATACATTTTGAACCCTTTATTATGAACTGGTATTATAATAGCTTTCAGCTATTTGGTGATTCCCCCCCGCCGCCCAGATTTATTAACAAGCAGGTGGAAAGAGTTGCCTACCAGTTAAAAACTCCAAAGTGCTACCATTTGTACCCAAGCTTTTCCCACTTAGCTGAGTTAATTCTCTGACTTCACATGCAGTAACCTAATGGCCACTGAGGGGTATTAAGAGGCAAATAAAAGTGCAAGTTGCAGGAAAAAAATAGAGAATAGGTAAATGTTCCAACACAGTAGCAGGTACATGGCAATCAGTACCCCCTGTATTATGGGCTTATGTAGATTATGCTAAAAAGAAGAAACACATTATTTTTGTGATAATTGATTTATAGCTACAAGGGACTGCACTCTGTCACTAACCCTCTAGAGCTTTCCCTTCCCATCCCATGCAGCTGCTAAGCTCTCTTTTCACCTTCCAAATCCATTTCATGCATCCCCGTGTTCATGCATCCCATTCATTTTGTGCAACCCACCTTGTACATAAACCACCCCACGGTAACTTCCTGCTCTGTATCTTCCTCCCCACACACATTACAACTACTAAGCACCCTTTTAACCCAACCATGTAGACACCATCTCTGCCTGTTCAGACCCCTGTTCCTGTTTTCATCCTCAGTCCTATTCCTATGCCTCCCACTCTCTCCTTTGTGCAACTCCTTCTGCAGCCTCATTTTCACATTCACTCCCATTTTTCCTCCAACTTCCTGACTTTTCTCGAAAAAAGGAATCCTCAATTTTTGTTCCTCCCTCTCTCTTCCTAATACAGTGGTACCTTGGTTTACAAACTTAATCCGTTCCGGAAGTCCGTTCTTAAACCAAAGCATTCTTAAACCAAGGCATGCTTTCCCATAGCAACAGGGGACTCAATTTACAAATGGAACACACTCAACAGGAAGCGGAACATGTTCTGCTTCCAAGGCAAAGTTCACAAACCAAAAAATCTACTTCCGGGTTTGCAGCGTTCTTAATCCAAATTGTTTATAAACCAAGCTGTTCTTAAACCAAGATACCACTGTAGAACTTCAGAGCAAGTCTCTCAGCTTGTTCAGTGAGAGAATGTAAGTTCATGTGGTACATGTTTGCTTATCAAGAAAGTATTCCTTATAAATTGCTACACTGAAGCTGGAACTTCTTGTTGAAGACTACACATGGCACCATGAGTGAAATACATTGTTAGAAGGTTCTATGGGATATATGAGGGCTCCATTCCCCCCCTCCCACACACATAATAAATAGAAGAGGGAGAAGTTGAAAATGGGCAACCTTTGGCTGCCAGTGTCTCTCCCTTCTCAATGTGCTCAAAAATGGCAGAAATTTGAGTAAAGCAGGGGTGTACAAATATTGAGGGGTTGTTATTACTTTTTAAAAAAAGTTTTTACAAGAAGAAATAGCTGAGATGGGTACAATACCGAAGTTAACACAAATAAGCTAGAGCCATTCCCACCTCTCTTCTTGCTGTATTCAAACCTTGTTTTAAACTGCCATTTGTGGGAGTCATAGCCATGGTAAAGGCTTGTAATATTGCAGGGTGCCTTGCTGACGTCGGTGACCAGCACTCTGAGCTTTACAATGTATTGGAATGCATGACCTCATATGGAGTTATGTCCCCCCCCTCTGGGCTATGTAACCCTATATGGTTTGTGGGTGGGTAAAAGCCTTGACCGGATGTAGGTAACGTGAGACATTGGAATGCAGCCATGCGGCTGGAGAGGAACAAAGGGTAATAAGAATAAACGGACTGGAGGAAGAGGTGAAGTCTGATATTGAGCTGCCTCCATCCATGGAAAGATTGCTAGCCTCAGTGTCTTTATTTAATGCCTAAAAGCACCATTTGTAACGGCAGGCTCCGACAAGTGGTGCCCCGTGTGAGGCTAACTTAAAAGAAGAGGCTAACTTAAAGAAAAGAAGCAACTTGAAGCAAACAGTCTGAGGCAGACTAAGAGGATTTTAAAAGAAACTGTGAGAGGTTTTTCTATCCAAGCAGTGGATATCATCGGCTCACTACGTCCGGCAAGGATTGCAAGCGCTGATCATCTTAAAAAGATCCCGGTGAGTTCAATCCCTTATTATTATTACTTTTATATTGATTTTTGAAAAATGGGCAGCTCCTTGACTACTCCACAACAGAAGTTTTTAAAAGGCTTAAAATTTCTCCTCTCCTCCAACAAATTGGAAGTTCCTGAGGGTGATTTGATACAGCTCATTCTGTGCATTGATGAACATTCTCCCTGAGACTTGGGTGTAATTGCAAATGGGACTTGGGAACTGAAACTTTGGGACAAGATTGGTGAACATTTTCATGAGCTTCCCAACATCAGTGCTCGGATTTTAAATGCATGGTGCAAGGTTCGATATGCTATGGGTTCTTTATCACCAAAAAATATCTCCCTGGCTGCATTGCCAACAGAACCGCCAGCTTCTTTAATCCAGCCTGCTGTGTTAGAGTCTTCTGTGTTAGAGTTTGTTCCAATCCTTGCCCTGCCAGCACCTCCAGACCCCAAACCTCCATACTGCAGTTCCTCACCAGAGGACCCAATCCTGCAAAAATACTGTGGTCTGGCTGGCAATAGTCCTAATCTTTCAGAGGCAGACCCAGCTACCTCTTTTCAACGTGCAGTCCTTGCCTGTTCCTTAATTCAGGATACTATGGCATTCCCTGTTATTGTGCCCCCTGCTGGTGCTCCAGCAGGAACTCAAGCCTCATTTACTCAGGCTCTTTTGGAAGCCACATTAGCCCAGCCTTTGGTTCCAGATGACATCAAGCCTTTGGCACGTACAGTTTTACCCCCATCAGCTGGTGTTTTGTTTGACCACGAATGGGAAACTGCTTGCTATACAGATGCTCCAGCCTTGTTACAACAAATCAGGGGAAATAATCCAAATATTACCCTTGCAGACATCATGGATGCCATGATAGGGCGTGATCCCTTTGCTCAGGCTTCAGTACAAGCCACACTGCTGCAGATCTTATTGAGGGATACTGCTCTTGCTGCTAAACAAGCAATGAGAAAAATCCCGGAACCCACCAGTATCCAGTCGAGGTGGGGTTCAATCAGACAAGAACCTAGAGAATCATATTCTTCCTTTATGGACAGGCTGATTACAGCAGTGAGTCGCCAAATTGAAAATCCTGAAGCCAAACAAATTATTATCAAACAATTGGCCTTTGAATATGCTAATGAGGATTGTAAAGTTGCATTGAGACCGAAAATACACAATCCTGCCACAGACACAGCAGCCATGCTTCGCATTTTTCAGTCTGTTGGTACAGCTACCCACAAGATTCATCTGCTAGCAGCAGCGCTCAATGAAAACCAGCCTGTAGCCACCGATACAGCGTTTCCAGTGTGGCAAACCAGGATCACCGATACCTCAGTGTGGGTAGAACGGTGGCCTCCACCAAAAGGAAAATCCGCAGCAATGGCACCATCTTGTTTCTGAACAGCTTATTTCTGAACAATTGACTTTCAGCCACATTGAACCGTCTTCATCCCACTGGCACCAGCAGACAGGAACGGTTTGCTTTTATATTGCCAGCATATAACAATTCTCAAATCCAGCGAAATCAGTGGATTGTCCTGCCTCACAGCATGCGGAACTCCCTTACACTTTGTCAGCATTTTATGGATGAAGCATCGAAACCCTTCCGCATGTGCCACCTAGAGGTGCTGAACACAAACTGCATTTGGCAGTGTTTGCCTTCCTAACCATTTGCCTTGCCATCCTTTCCTGCACCGTTATACAAGGAAGAGAAGCAGACGATCCAGTCCAGTTGAAACCACCATATTTCACCTTATCGGCTGGCAAGCAGCTGTCGCCTGAATCCTACTCTGGCTGGCAGCATCCACGGCTCAGCCACTCTCAAACTATAAGAACAGTGTTGTTGAATAAGACTTTTAGGGGTGAAAATTATCATAAGATATGGAGGAATAATATTTTTGTACAAGATATGATTATGTTTACCAGTTTATTGCATGCTTCTAAATGTTGGTTATGTATGCACATGCCCCCTTTTGAGAGTCATTCAGGCATAATGCTTCATGATGTGCCTGTCAATGGATCTTTTCAATTTACAAATATTATATCCCCTAAGCAATCTTTTTGGCCCCCAGTACACTTGACCCTCCATGAGCCTACACCCATTTATTTTCAAATTAAGGAGGGGAAAGAATCATGGGGCATATATCCAAACTGTCAATATACATTGAATTTCACTTTTAATAGCTCTTGTTCTCTTACAGGAACATACAATGACCAATTTCAGTGCTATAGAAGTGACACCAGTGCATGGCTAATAAACTAGAAAGGAAGCTACCATGCAGCTTGGAATCAGAATTCTTATATTCTTGGCTTCCGGATGGAAGTTGGCTTCGACATTTATTGATTTTAGTGATCATTATAGTAGTTATTTGCATTATTTTGTGTTGCTGTATACAATGTATTCCTTCTTTAATTTCTGTATGTACTGCATGGTTCTCCAGTCCGCAGCCCGCTTCCGGTCTCACATGAGTCGTCTATCGCACTCGATATAACCGTATTGGTACTGATTAATTAAATAAAGAAAGAGGGCATGTGGGAGTCATAGCCATGGTAAAGGCTTGTAATATTGCAGGGTGCCTTGCTGACGTCGGTGACCAGCACTCTGAGCTTTACAATGTATTGGAATGCATGACCTCATATGGAGTTATGTCCCCCCCCCTCTGGGCTATGTAACCCTATATGGTTTGTGGGTGGGTAAAAGCCTTGACCGGATGTAGGTAACGTGAGACATTGGAATGCAGCCATGCGGCTGGAGAGGAACAAAGGGTAATAAGAATAAACGGACTGGAGGAAGAGGTGAAGTCTGATATTGAGCTGCCTCCATCCATGGAAAGATTGCTAGCCTCAGTGTCTTTATTTAATGCCTAAAAAGCACCATTTGTAACGGCAGGCTCCGACAGCCATTCTCCCTTCAATGTCACTCCCTGATCTCTCTACTCAAACCTCTGCCATTGCTTAAAATCACTTTGTTTATCTCACTGTCTCTCCACTCAAACTTCTCTCTCAAGCAGTACCAGGCAGTTCCGTCTCCAGATTACCAGATGAATCATTCTAGATTTTTTTAAATAATAATAAAAAATCTCTATTGGCTCAGTCCTCTAAGTTATGAAAGCACACCTGTCTCTGCTGGGCCAGTTTGTTTGTTTTCCTCTGTCTCCCCTCCTTTCACTTTTTTAAAAAAATACACAGTACAAAGTACATACTTCTGTGTACCTAGGGAGAGCCTTGAGTATTTAGAAATAATTATCTTAATTTTGTCCAGTTTAGGCTGCTTCATGGGGGCAAGTTGGGCACTGCCCCACCAACCTTGGTCTACCCTCAGCCAGACCCCGCCTGCCTACTCCCTTACATAAAATCATGCTAGGGAGTGGCTGTCAGCTTCCTCCTCCTCAGTTTCACAGTTGGGTCTATGCAACTCAACAAAAAGTAGGATGGTGACCAAAGGAAAATTATGTATCACTGGCAACTATTTGCTCTGGCTCCACTTACTGGTGGCCTTCCTGCCTTCCACCACTGGTTTTCTCTGACCCTGTTTTACTTCCAAAGTGATAGACATTCAGCCACCTGGATCACTAAGAGAAGGATGACTGATAAACTTTATGCAATAATTTTGCTTGACATTTGCCTTTTCTTCTTTGGCAAACAACATACTTTACCCTTCACCCCTTTACTGTCATTCATACATATATTATAAGTTATCCGTCGAATCACCTAAAATATGGTTGCTATTTAATTCTAGCGGTGATGAATTGCTGGAATGAATTCATGCAAACAGGGAAATTGAAATTGAATTCATCACACTACGAAAAGCCCATCCTACTCATGCAAATTAGCAGCTTTCCTGCTAAAATCAATTTGTTTTGGTAAATTATGCAAAAATCCTCAAAGGGCTTAGGTAGGTAATTTATTATACCCTTGGCTGTTCCATAATGTTAGAAAATGAAATTTATTCACAGAATATTAGATGCTATAAGCTGAAAACTTAGTGACATTTTTTGTTTGTTTATTACAATTCATTAGGTTTGTCTATGTGGACATAACTCTCACTTTACAGAGGGCATAACCTTTGTTCGAAGTTCTCTGTTATGACCCCTAATATGATACTCTTAAAAAAACCCACAAAAAAAAACAAAGAAGACTTGGTGCCCTATTGCTTCTAAATGAAGTCACACTTCTCAAGAAAGTCCTTTATTCATTGCTTATACATGCAAATAGCAGAAATCACTTTTCAGATTATTGAATGTTGTTATTTGCAGGGGCTAGAGAAGTCTCAATAACTCATTCATACTCACAGTTTTACTTCTCATAGAAGTGGTGAAATATACATAGGAAGGAAAGGGAGTTCTCTGCAGCGTAAGGCACAATCACACCCACACAAGCCATGTGACTTTTGGGCTGGCTACAAGATGGCATGTTCAGTTTCTTTCCACCCAGCTATGCTTTAGCCAGTGAATTGCGGGCCAACTCAAAGTGCTAGTTTTGACCTGTAAAGCCTTCAAATTGTTCAGGACTACAATAGTTGTAAAGCCTTCAAATTGTTCAGGACTATGGGGTATGGCACTCATCTCGCTTTTCAGGTCGAGGGAGCTGGCGTTTGTCCATGGTCATGTGGCCAGCATGACTAAACCACTTCTGGCACAACAGGACACCATGACAGAAGACCGTTTACTTTCCCGCTGCAGGACTGCAATACCTCTAGGACTGCCTCTCCCAATACGAACCTACCTGGACCCATCAATCAACATATGAGACCCTTCTTCCTGTCCCCCCTCAAATCTATGGCCTGAGAAAAGGGGGGAGGCAGGTTATTGTTTTGTTATTGTTTTGTATTTTGTTTTCTCATTTTGTTTTTTTATGTTGTGAACTGCCCTGTGATCTTCGGATGGAGGTTGGTATACAAATTTAATAAATAATAATAATAATAATAATAATAATAATAATAATAATAATAATAATAATATGGTGTGGTGGCTGGGCTGCAGGGACATGCTTTGGGACCAACTTTTGCCTGTTTGGTTCCAGCAGGGACTGGTGTAGGAACCACTGCATGTGCTATTATTTCACCTAGATGACAAGAAATTTGGTTTGCTAAAGCGAAAAGTGTTGAACCATCAAGCCATCTGGGATTTTCAGCTGTTGAAGCAACATTGGCCTGGAGTTAACTTGGTGGGGTCAGATATATTACCGTATGCCGCTTTTTCACCATCTAGGGATTACACATAGAATCATAGAATCATAGAGTTGGAAGAGACCACAAGGGCCATCGAGTCCAACCCCCTGCCAAGCAGGAAACATAGTAATGTTGAACTATGCAGGTCTGACAGAATGTCATGAATGTCAGCAACTAAATAGAGATTTGTCCCCTTTTGTGAAGGTTAGGTTTGGTAAGGGGAACAGTCAAGTTCAGTGGCCTCCTTAGAGTGATTAGCTGGCTTCAAGACTTGCCCTCTGGGCTATAGCACCCTGAGGCAGTACAGGGGTTACCTCTAAGGCTTACCTGCCTCGTCCACCTGGATCAATGGGCCCTTGGTGTGGCAGGGGGATGGTTGATGCTGAAAGGCCTACCTACTTATTTTCATTGTGTGACCTGGGCAAAGGGGTAGGCAGGATACTCACACCTGCATTTTACTGTAAGCAGGGGTTTGGTCAGCCTATTGGCTGCAGATTTCACCTTATTTTAGAGTTAACTTCCCACACTGCTAACTGTATTGGTTTTATCTTAAATAAAGTTCAACCCATCTGACTCTTTAGTCAGCTAGCAGATCACAATATCCTTTTATGATAATGAAGGCTACTGAACATCAGAAATCACATTTACTTTAATGCAATGAACTCTTGGCTTTGTGGAGTTGTATAAAAAGGCTGGTTCAGGTAATGAATTGGATGGCTTAGGGAGTGATTTTGTTCAATGTAGGTCTCAGTCAACTGTTCTGAATAAAAAGGTTTGCCAAAAAAGTGATTAGGAAGGGTGGGGGGTGATAAACCAGAGAAGAGCACAAACATGAACAAGATAAAAGAAAAACATTGGAAGAAAATAGTGCTGGAGAAACTTTTTAAAATACTTGATAAAAATTTGAAACAAAGAAGAAGTGATAATGTTTAAATCCCATCTAAAGATAATTGACAGGGGTGCCAACTTAGGCACTGATTTATGGGTGCCCAGCATCGTGCACAATGTCATGTTACGTCACACGTGCCACAGCAGTGCCTGGGAGCCCCAGAAGTTGGGTTGGAGGCCCTGCAAGACCTCTTCTGAGGCTGCATGGTGCCTCAGACACAACATCCTGTGCTTCACGAGGCCCTGGAAGTCACACGAGAGGCCCCACAGTGTGGGGGCCAAGCACCCACAACAAAATTTATTCTGAATTTTGCCCATTACCATCTGTTTCTGACCAGACCCAGGATTTAGATAACCAGAACTCATTTGCACCATCGGGAACAAAAAAATGTCAGAGGGAGATTCTGGATAGTAATAACTGGAATTAGCTTTGATCCACCAACCATTAGTACTATGGATTTACCTTAAACCAAGTTTGCTTAGACACTATCTCCCTGCCTATCCGTACAGACCACGGAGGCATACAACATATAAATCAGCTCAGATATTGATTTGAATTACCAGATACATTAAATTTTATTGAATCAAAGTCAGGGCTTGCTATACATTCAGGAATTAAAAATATGCTTGTTTAATATTTAGATCCTAATATTACTTCCATTGGCAATGTAATGTTTGGCAAAAACAAAGCGCCATTATATAGTTATTATTTTCATGCCCTGGCTTCTTCCAAGAAGCTCTGGGCAGAATACATGGTTCTTCCAGCCTTTAATTCACCTAACAATCCTCTGTGGGAGGTTTTTCACAGCTGATGAATCATGTGAGTGGGTTCTGCCCGGATGAGTTACCACCTGGGGACCACATGTTCCATGATAGAAGAAAGCTGAGATAGGAGTGTAATAAATTAATTAAATTGAGAATGACAACCTAGGTTGGAATATACTTACATCCATCCAGTTCACATTGAAAGTACGGTCTACTCATTAAGCTCATGTGTGATCCTCTGTAGGGCTACACTGCCTTTTTATCTGCAGAGGTGCAGGATATCTGATTGTTAGACCATCATTCCATTATTGAGATAAGTCTTTACATCTCCAGACTTGCAGGGGTGCTGCATTGTCCATCAACAGATGTTGAAAAATCATGGGAGACGAGAGAGGCAGGTGTAGCTAGGCGTCTGTCAGGGCGGACCCTGAGAGCCTATTTTATTGAATATTGCAAGCATTGCCACAGGTGGGCCTGTGGCTGATTGGTTGATACATACACACAGAAACTTGTGATTGGTTAACATAAGTACTAAGGCGGGAATTACATGTGAAAGGTGGGGATTACATGTGATCATTTATCATTGATGGAGAGAAGGCTGAGAATCGGAGTTAGAACTAGACAGGTATGAAGCCTCCTAATTGAATTGTAACTAGGGATTAATTGGCACAAACAATATAACAATCGGGTTCTATAGTTATGGTCAGCTAGGCATGGAGAGCAAGTACAGTTTGTTTTCCATGAGCTTGGGATGTCTGTTACTTAATGATTGATCATAGCATGTAACAATGTAATCAGGTTCTGTAGTCAGCTAGGCGTGAAGAGCAGGTTCGCACAGTGTGTGCAAAAAGCAGGGAAAAACCTAGAGCAAGACTTCTCAGAAAGCAAGAGAAAAAGAGGAGCAAAACTTCCCCAAAATGGAGCAGTTTTATGCAGAAAGAGACTA